TTATAATATTAAAAACAAACAAAAACATTTCACACTGTCTTTAAACTATTTATTCTGCGATGACACATCCTCAAAAGTATACACTGCTTCACGCATACAAATGAGAAGAATAATTGTTTATTACATTTTTTCTATCTCCATTGTTAGCAACAACTGTGTCGTGGCAAATGGAACGTCCCAAAAAAATATCCAGATAAACCTTTATAGAGTTGGCATACTTCGCACGTAACAACATTGTCTTGATATCATGTCGGAAAGCCCAGTCTATACTAGGGTGACCATGTCTACACTAATAATATAATCAAATAAATTTAAAATTTAAATTTAATATTAAATAATTTTTTTTTTACTATTAATAAGATACATTATCACTGAGTAACTTAATCTATGTATATTAGTAGTCTTTTTAATTCCGCGCGGACAAAATCGTGGGCAAAAGCTAATTATAAACAAAAAAAAACAGCTCAGGAATTGAATAATTTATTTGTCCATTTACTTTTATTTATATTTAATATGTTTCATCATCAAATTAAAAATAAATCTATATTTCTACAATAATATTTTTTATAGTTATATATATAAGATTTAATAATTATACATAAAGCCTACCTTGCCTTATGTACTTGTTTGTTATAAAATCTTGTTAATCACAAATAAATAAGGCGATGAATGATGTAAAGATTCAACATTCCACAACTTTATTTATAAAGTACAAAGAACATCTTCTAGCAATGATTAATAATGTATTTAGCACGTGGGAATTTTATTTAAAGACTCAATGACTGCGATTTATTATGCTCATATCACTATAGCATCTGACTTTGCCTTTTACAGTGTGAATGAATATTAAAAGCAATGATAACTTTTATTACTTAATTGCAAACTTATTTCTTCGTAACGAATATGTTCTATTATTTGCCCTTGCAATTATTAAGAGTACACTCAGAAGAACCACAGAGAATAATCAGTGCTGATTTTAATGAATTTGAAATTTAAATTGTTTCCCTCCATACGTTCTTTACGTGTAAAATTAAATTAATTGACTTCTTCAAATATTCAAATCATCTATAAATTTATGTAACAAAATACCAAATGGATAATTCATTCAAGGACAAATTTATCCTTAAAAATTATGGATAACCTAGTAAATATGTATGCGCGGACCCGGACGCAGTATTTTTTTACATACGACGAGATGCACTTACCAACTTCGTGACAAGATTCAATATTAAACGACGATGATACATAGAAAATCCAACCGTGACATTAATAAATAATAAATTACAATTTATAGGACAATAACTCAATTGAACTATTTTATTTGTCGCGGTCACTTGAGGAATAAATGTGAATTTCAAATGTTACAACGATAAAGCAGGTAAGACATAAAAATGTTTAAAAAGCCTTTATGAGAACGTTTTAGGTAACCCTATTTGCGTTCAAAGGAAGTTTCTTTCATGTTTAATATCTTTTCATATCTTACTTATATTATAAAAGCGAATGTTTGGATGGATCGATGGATGAATGGATATTTGTTTGATGGTATCTCCAAAACGGCTCAATGGATCCCGCTGAAATTTAGCATCATTATAGATCATAGTCTGGAAGAACACATAGGCTTCTAAGTAAGTTTTTTTTTATCTCCACGGGGACGGATTTGCAAGCGACAGCTAGTTATATAAATCATTCTTAGAAGATTCGAGTATAATTGTATATCAACAGAAATACCACAAAACAACGCGCACACCGCAACTGACAGGTTCGTATAATTTACAACGTAAATTGAAAAGATCGTGATCTCTACGATGTTATGGTTTTTCCTTTATGTTCCAAAATATAATCCGTCCGCTTTTGTTTTTTATTTTTATAATAAATAAACTATTGCTTGACCACAAACACATTTGATAGTGGCTACGTGATCAAAGGATGGTACACACTAACTTACTAAATAAAGGATAATTTTATATGAAAACAATAAAAAACAACTGATTCTAGCAACATGTACATATGTAATCTATTTTTTAATAAATTTAACTCATTTTTAAAGTTGTAAAAAATAAACAAACGTGGTATCTGCGTTTAAATATCTTGTTCCAGTACACTGATGAAAAGAGTTATATTTACAAAATTTTGTTTACTCTCTTACTAATTTACTTTTATTATAAATGCGAATATTTGACGAATGGATGGATGTTTGTTTGAAGGTATCTCCAGAACGACTACATAGATCGCGCTGAAATTTGGCATAGAAGAACATAGTCTGGAAGAACACATAGGTTACTAATTAAGTTTTTCCGCGCGGACAAAATCGCGGGCGACAGCTAGTGAGTAATAAAACATTGATAAAATAAATAAATTTATAAAACTTGGCTTTAACAACAAATCTGTTATATTTTATCTGTTTATTATTTGTTATGATTACCCAGTAACAAGAAGTTTATTTATAAATTGTATATAAACAATATATAATATAATAATGACACATAATAGGTTACAAGCTAAAGGTAAGTATGATATAATGGTCAAGTATTTATTATAATTACGATAATGTTTATAAATTTAACTTACAGGTTAACTTTTGATGTCATAGTAAATCAAAAACATAATTGCAAATTTAAAAAAAAAACACTACATTAGTATAAAAGAATTGTAAATACACATAATATATTTCTCCTATATCATTTTATCTAATTCTGTCCACGTAGATATTAAAGGAAAGTACTATCCTTGGAACTTCTTATTTCTAAATGACAAAAGCGTAAACACAAGTTTGCAATTTATGGATACGTGAATAAAGTAAAGCATTTTATTGGTCATCGGTAACAATTTCCCTATTTTGAATAGATTCGTAAAAGTAAAGTTTTTATTTAGTTCGCATTTTTTACTCATGTTCAAAACAAACGATAAACTCGAAATACAGAATGCAAATGTTTTATTTACATTTATAAAAATTGAGGCAAATATTAGGCAATAATATTATACCTAGGCAAAAATACCGAAGGTTTAAAAATATCAAAATAAGTTTATTGGAGTGCAGTGCAACAATAAACAGTTTAGTTAAATTCAAAAAGTATCATTTTTGCGATTTGATTTCCCCTCGTATACTACATGTGGCTCGAGAATGAAAGGAATGGAAAAGGTTGGAGAAGACCTTTGTCAACTGGTAAACTTATTAAAGCATTAAAGGCCGGCAACGCATCTGCAGTTCCTCTGGTGTTGCAGATGTCCATGAGTGTCGTTGATCACCTCGGTGTTCCCGACGCTCGTTTGCCCCCTTCTCTTATAAAAAAAATCTGATGTGAAAAACACTAAGTGACTGTTCAATTAGCCTCTTCGCTCTGAGACGTACGAGCCTTTCCTATCTTAAGAAAAACTTTCCTTAAATGGTTCGACGAAAGTATGGAAATTGAGTTTTCCCTATGTTAATTCTAAGCGAATTCGAATTTCTTACGAATTCTTATGTTGTGTTGTTAGATTTTCGAAGAATGTTATCGAATAGTTTGTACTGAGAATCGATGTAATAAAACATTGCGAGATAAATATGGATTTCCTAATTAATGTTTACAATTATAAATCGATAATTGCTAGATAGAATTCCTCGACGTACGGATTAACGATATGTTTTCATACCACAACATCGATATAATCGATTTATTTGTAATTAAATTTATATTTGTACTGAGAATAATAATACAAACATATTTAATTAATGAACAAATAAATAAAATCTTATCATTTTCACCAAAATTAACAAGAAATATATTTACAATTTACTTAAATACTTTATTTTATTTTGTTAAGATGTATGACTTCTTTTCTTATTTTTATATATTTTACGATCATATTTGAGACAATTATGCCTAAGAAATAATGAAACTAGTAATTAAGTTTAAAAACCAAAATCAACTAGAATTTACTCACAAGAAAAAACTAAACGAATTAAGCGATTTACTACACTAAGATAATAATTCAATAGCTGTGTGCACTTTGCCTTTTATTATCTAGCGTTTATTTCAGATCAAAATGAATAAACACAATTATCAAAATATATCCTGGATCACCAGTTTATGATACCAGGGAAAGAGCAACCGTTCGCTTTTCAGAGCCATAGTTTCGAGAGCGCAAGTCGCCCTGATGATCTTCTAAAGATGCTACTTTTATAAGAAAAAAGGAGTAAACGGGTTAGAAGTATTAATCGATAATCAAGCAAGACATACCTCGCGTTATTTGAAGGTGAAATTAGTAAAGACAACTCAGATGAACAACATACGTTTTTTAATTAGCAATCTGCTTATCGGATATGCGATAAAATTAATGAAAGTGCTACTGCCGTCGGTAAAATTTCCAAAACAGGGGAAAAAATAAACTCTACTCCATACAATGGTCATTGTGTCCACATCTTTGCAGTCCAGTTGACATTTTTGTTTCAATTTCAAACATCAATTAAGAAAGATATTCGTATACTTTCATTTGTTAAGTCAAACTTACCCGACTAACATGGGATATTTGATCGCATTAAATTCGATAATATTTTGTGTATTTTAACACGCATTTAATAATTGCAACTGGCATAAAGTGATTAGATGATCTTTTGTTTTATTAGGTGATAATCGTAATTTCTTTTACAACTAACCAGTTAATTTGCCTTTTAATAGTCTATTAGAAAGTTTGTGAGTGTGACGCGAAGATTCGTTGTTTAAATCTATCTTTGTAACGATGTAGAATTATTTAAAATTTAAATACATTTTTAAATTAATTGAAATACAACTTTACAGAATATGAAACATAATTTAAAATAAATCTGTTCGTTTTTTGAAACGTTTTTATTTTTCACTGAATATTTTTTGAATACATAATAATGATTATTATATTTTTAGGTGAGGGCGGAGCCGGGGCGCCAGTGTTGTTTCAAAGGCGATTGTTTCCGAGTAATCGTGATTTGTGTTCCCGCAGACGTCCGCGCTTACGTCGGCGATCTGTTAAGATGTATAAAAGGTTTATGCGTGTTAAGTCATCTTCAGTTAAGTGAGCGAACAGCCATGAGACGGGCTCTGTGCTATTTTGGATTAATCTCCCTGCTCGCCTTTGGCGATGCGTCAGGTAAATACTTCATTATTACAAACATTAGAGTCTAGACTACCGATTAGTTATGTGTATAAATGTGTATAAAAATATATACGTAAATTATCTAGAAATCTAGACTTTATAAGCATTTCTTTTTTGTGATAGGTCCCAGCAAGTACAACCCGCTGAAAACCCCGCGTTTTTCTCTGACCTTACAAATGTTATCTTCGTTTTAATGTAATCAGTAAGGTCTTCATAAAAACCGTAGTTATTTTTAATTATATCGGGTTCTTGTTAATACGTACTACATTTATGAGTGCAGTTAATATCGTATAGAGGTTAAAAACATTATTCATTCTGCACTAATGATTTTGTAATCATTAGCGGAGACGTTTTTATTCAACAATTTTATGCAGTTCCTATTTGTACTCTTAATTTTTTTTCGAAATTTTATTAGACAAAATGTATAATATTATATATTAACATGATATTTTTGTTTATATTTAAAAACAAGTCCATCCTTAAATTATCTTGTATTTTTACTTACATCCTTCAATGTTTATTTTTTTTAACAATGCTAATAACTAATATAGTGCGTATAATTACGAATTGCGTAAAAACGCGAATTCAATTGCTTTCTATAACAAATACATAATAGTACATGAATGAGGATTTAAAGCAGGAGCAGGAGCAGCACTTGACTTGCAATCTGCAGGACCTGGGTTCGAATCCCGCCATGTACCAATGTGTTTTTCGATTTCCGGTTTACATATGTACATTTATCCGACGTTCTTACGCTGAAGGAAAACATCGTGATGCAAGCTGCACATATCTGAGAAGAAATTCAAAGATATGTGTGAAGTTAACCAACCCGCACTTGGCCAGCGTGGTTGAAAATGGCCCTAATTACCCATAACTTTGGGTAGGCTCCGAGCCCCTCGATGGGGACGTAAAGTGAGCTGATGATGAGGATTCAAAAACACAAATGTTTAAACCTGCTTGTTTTTTGGTTTACAGAGAGGCTACGGCGTAGCGGTGGCTATGGTGGCGGCGGCGGTGGTGGCGGTGGGTTTGGCTTCGGAGGCGGCGGAGGCGGAGGTTTCGGTTACGGCGGAGGGGGAGGAGGCGGAGGAGGTGGAGGAGGCGGATTCGGGGGCGGCCTAGGAGGTGGACTCGGAGGCGGCCTTGGCGGGGCAATTGGTGGTGGCCTTGATGGCATTCGCAAAGGAGTTCACGATATCATCGGCAAAGTTCACTCCGGATTATCGCATGTAGCCGGTGGCGTAGGAGGAGGCGTTGGAGGCGGTATTGGAGCTGGCGGTGGCCTTGGAGGCGGAGCCGGCGGTGGACTAGGAGGTGGTGCTGGCCACGGCGCTGGTCTTGGAGGCGGCGCCGGACTTGGAGGTGGCGCTGGAGGCGGCGCCGGACTTGGAGGTGGCACTGGAAGCGGCAGCGGGTTTGGAGGAAAAGATGAGAAAGTTATATACACGAAGTCCGATGATGGAAAATCTGGAGGATTTGCTTTTACTGGCACTCTGGATAGCGGAAAAGGTGGCTACGGCGGTGGTGGAGGATACAGCAGTGGCAGTAGTGGCAGTGGCGGCTATGGTGGTGGTGCCGGATTCGGTGGAGGGGCTGGCGGAGGCACCGGTGGGGGTTCCGGTGGTAGCGGAGGAAGTGGATTCGGACGTGGATCCGGGAACTTAGCAGGTGGTCAGGGAGGAGGATTAGGCGGAAATGGAGGGGGTTCTGGCTTTGGAGGAGGAAATGGTGGAAGCTATGGTCACGGTGGAACCGGAGGTAGTGGAGGCAGTGGAGGCTTTGGAAGTGGAAATGGAAATGGTGGTTTTGGGGGCAGCACAGGAGGTTCTGGTGACCTAGGAGGAGGATATGGTGGCGGAGCTGGCGCGGGCGGTGGTCTTGGTGGAGGAAGCGGTGGACACGTTGGCGGCGGCGTCAGTGGTAACAGTGGATTTGGATCAGGTGGTGCAGGAAGTAAAGGAAGCTACGGAGGAAATGGTAATGGAGGCTTCGGGGGTGGTCTTGGTGGAGGCAGCGGCCTCGGAGGGGGCGCTGGACTTGGAGGAGGGGCAGGCTTTGGAGGTGGAAGTGGATTAGGCGGTGGCTCCGGTACAGGAGGTGGCTCTGGTTCAGGAAACGGCGGTGCTAGTGGATTTGGAGTGTCTGGAGGAAAAGGAGGATACGGAGGAAGCGGAAGTGGTAGCCTTGGAAGTGGTGCTGGATTTGGAGGAGGTGCTGGTCTTGGAGGTGGCGTTGGCCTCGGAGGTGGAAGTGGATTAGGAGGTGGTTCTGGTTCAGGAAACGGTGGGTCAAGTGGATTTGGAATTTCCGGTGGAAAAGGTGGATACGGAGGAAGCGGAAGTGGTAGCCTTGGAGGTGGATTTGGAGGCGGCGCTGGACTCGGTGGAGGCAGTGGACACGGCGGCGGAGGTGGATTCGGTGGAAGCTCTGGTTCCGGTTCAAACTCTGGAAGCTCCGGTGGTTTTGGAGGCGCGGGTGGCAAAGGTGGCTACGGAGGAAATGGTGGCCTCGGTGGAGGATTCGGAGGTGGTGCTGGATTGGGCGGACATGGAAATGGTATTGGAGGTTCGGGATCTGGATCAAGCTCTGGAGGAGCCGGTGGCTTCGGAGGTGCTGGAGGATCCGGTGGCTTTGGAGGTGCTGGAGGATCTGGCGGCTTTGGAAACTCAGGAGGAAGCGGCAATGGTGCCGGCAATGGTTATGGAGGTGGTGCCGGGATCGGCGGTGGAGGAGGACAAGGAGGCGGCCATGGAGGTGGTAGCGGCCTAGGTGCTGGACTCGGAGGTGGTCTCGGTGGAGGTCACGCTGGAGGTCACGCTGGAGGTCTAGGAGGAGGACTTGGCGGAGGTTTAGGCGGTGGACTTGGAGGAGGCTTAAGCGGTGGTTTGGGCGGTGGACTTGTTAGTGGTCATGGACTTGGAGGAAACGCATTGAGTTCAAGCAGTGCCAGCGCTGGTGGATACGGCACTAAGGGCGGCTGCGGGTCAGGTTCTTGCGGCGGTGGGTACGGAGCGCACAGTCACAGTGGGGCCTTCGCGTCCGCCAGTGCTCATGCGTCGGCATCGGCAAGTGCCAGCAGTTACGGATAAGTTTTATGCTAAATATCTATCCAACTTAGTTCCAATGTGTATGATTAATACGTGTTGAATTGGCAAGTCTCGTAGTTATAGTCTATTCATGTAATCAAAAATATAGGTTATGCTTAGGTACTCAGGCGTTTTGTCATTTTACTTGATAATTACTCTGTGATGATAGTTATTAACTGTATAATTCTAGCATTGAATAAAGTATTTTTTTAGTTATATGGTAATTTTCATTCCTTTTACTTCCCAAATATTTTTGTAAGTTTGTAAGTTATATATGATGATTTTTAAAATGTGTAAAAAAACAGACTTTAGCAAAGTTAATCCGGACTACTGAAATGTGGTTTCAACATTATTTGTGATATTAAATGAATCACGATATTACTTGATGTTTGATGTATCTTGTGGCTTGCTCAAAAGTGAACTAGCGAAGCAATTGTCTTTTTATCACATTCTTGAAATGACCAACATAATAGGTAGAATAATGTAGAATAAGGAATGATATAGTATGGGCTAAATCTATAATACAAACACATAAATAAATACCACAATCTACAGTATATTTAGTTGACATGTCTTTCGTTGACTGTAATTTTCAAAAATACTTGTTTTCTAAAAATTATAATTTAGTGAGTAAAAAAAAATAAGAATATACCAAGAGCTAGGAAGTGGTTTCGCTTAGAATGTTATAGAGTACTAGATGTGAGAGTTAGTGTTTATAAAAAAACTTAATTACTACCCTGTGTGGTCTTGAATATTATAGGGTACTAGCTATCGCCTGCGACTCCGTCCTCGCGGAATTAAAATAAATCAGTAGCTTATGTTTCCTTCCATGCAATGTTTCAAGGCTTCCGTCTACGGCAAATTTCAGCAAAATCGATGCAGCCGTTCTGGACATACCTTGTAACAAACATACATCCATCCAAACATTCGCATTTATAATATTAGTAACATATATATTTATAGAGTGCAATTATAAATATAAAAAATCTAATTAAACATTTGACACATTAATTTATAAATAAAAATAATTATTCGTATAATGATACACTGTTAAAATTAAACAAAAAACCCTTGAAGAATAAGCTAAACATTTCTTTTAGATCAAAGAAAACTATTTTTAAATGTTTAGTGACCACACCTACCTATAAAAAGCTATTGGGAATAAAGAAAAACTAACACATGCATTGTATCCATGAATGAAGGTGCAAAATATAATAGTGACAGCAGTATGACGAATAAATGCAATAAACATAAATAATAGGGCATCAAACAACATTTAAAATTAATATTGACTTACCTAAGTATATTTAAAATTTTATATTATTATTATATTTTATTAAGTTGTACAATTTGACTGTGGCAGAGTTTGCAGCAGCATTAGCTGCACGAATTGCAGACTCCACCAGTATAACACGACCACACAGAAGACATACGTGATGTGAACACATTATAGGAGTAACAGGAAAGTACTAAAGTTATTTTACTGATAAATTAAATGCGTCCTGGAAATACAAATACGTAAATTAAACCAAAACAAAGGGTTTGTAAAAACCGATCGATTTAAAAATATTGTATATTCCCACAGTAAAGATAACGTACTTATATTTTAGTATATAAACGCATCTGTTGCAGTTGATAATGCAGATGCAATGAGAGTAGCCATGCAAACTCCTCTGTGCTTCTTGGTTCTGTCCCTTTCTGCAGTCGCTTATACAGCAGGTAAGTTATCATTATTCTTTCTTATAAATTTATTCAATTGTTTGTTTATTTAAAATACATTTTAAATAAAAAAATACAAGTGCATTAAAAGTAACGTTCTATTTTTGAATTAGAAAAAAACTTAGTGTAGCGTGTCTATTTGAGATAGATTTGTTTGCCAATTAATTTGACAATTCACAAGAGATGGGTTGGGTAAAATAGCTTATGAAAATTTTCGATTTTCGATGGTTGTTCTCATAGAACTTGCGATTGAAAATTTCGTGATTGTTTTCGAATAAAATTATAAATAAAATTGTTCATAACTACATAGAAAAATAAAATATTATACCAAAAATTAAAATATTCATAAACAAAAAGAAATGTTTTAATGTTGATTTAGTTAATTTCGCAAGACATAGCTAAATATCTGTAATAAAAAAGTACTACGATACCTAAATTATAGTAGTTATTTGTGCGATTCATATAATTACAAGACCGATTCTCGATAGTTCATAGTTGGTCCAACACTATGACAATCGTTCATAAAGTACAACATTATTCCTTATACAAAATTAATTCGATACTACATAGGCGTCAGTTGTCAAACTAATCTATCTTAAATCGACACACTATAATTTGTACTTTTTATTTGTTTTCTAAAACAAAATTGTATTATATTAACATTTTACTTTGCAATTATTATTTAATATTTAAATGTTTATATTTTTTGTGTATCTACGCAAAGTTTAATTACATAAGATAATGTTCTTATCTACATAAGCTGGATTGGGCAAGCTGACCCCACCACCTTGTGGGATGCAAGCTAGGCAGAGACAGAGAGAGAGAGAGAGAGAGAGTTCTTACCTACATATTATACACAATAATTAAAAAATGTTGATATTTACAAGAAACGCTTATGAAATTCCAAAAAACGCGAGTGTTTAATATTAGAAACACATCTCTAACATTGATTATCATTATTAAAATTTGATTTTAAAAATTTTTTTGCAGAGCGACCACGTCGACGGGCTAGTTACGACAGTATTGGATACGGAGGAGGATATGGTGGTGGCGAAGGTTATGGCGAGGGCGAAGGCCTAAGCCTTGGAGGTGGAATCGGAAGTGCTCTTGGATTAGGTCTAGGTCTAGCTAGAGGCCTCACAGCTGGCCTTGAAGCGATTCATCATGGAACAAAGGGTATAGGCGACGACCACAGCGGTGGACTAGGCGGTGGAGCGGGTTTTGGACTTGGCGGTGGACAAGGTAATGGACATGGAGGAGGCCAAGGTGGTGGAATGGGTGGCGGATTTGGTGGTGGATTTGGTGGTGGACACGGCAGTGAACAAGGTGGTGGGGATGGAGGAGGCTTAGGTGGTGGAATTGGCGGTGGACACAGCAATGAACAAGGAGGTGGACATGAAGGAGGCCTAAGTGGTGGAATGGGAGGTGGTCTAGGAGGTGGACATGGAGAAGGCCTAGGTGGAGGTCTAGGTGGAGGCTTAGGTGGTGGCCTGGGAGGCGGATTAGGTGTTGGAATTGGCGGTGGACACGGCAATGGACAAGGAGGTGGACATGGAGGAGGCCTAGGTGGTGGCCTGGGAGGCGGATTAGGTGTTGGAATTGGCGGTGGACACGGCAATGGACATGGAGGAGGCCTAGGTGGTGGAATGGGAAGTGGTCAAGGAGGTGGACATGGAGAAGGCCTAGGTGGAGGCCTAGGAGGTGGTATGGGAGGCGGTTTAGGTGTTGGAATTGGCG